TACGTATATCTATACACATCTCTCTATATATATATGCGTACATATTTATGCATACATATATATATATATATGCACATACGCATAACGAGTATATACATATACACGAAAAACGAATGTGCGCAGCGCCCAGGCGAGAACCACATTTTGAAAACCACCCGCCCTCAATCCGTGAAGCTCTTGCAAATTTGTAAGACGAGTGTGCGCGGTGCTACGGCGAGAGCCGTACTAAAAAAATCCTCTTTCAATCCGTGGAATTCTTGCAAGTATTTTGTTAATCGGATGCGCGCGACGCTCAGGCGCGAACCACATTTTGAAAACCACCCGCCCTCAATCCGTGAAGCTCTTGCAATTTTTTCGCGGCGCTAAGGCGAGAGCCACATTTTGAAAACGGTCTCCATCTGTGAAACTGTTGCCATCTTTAGCTTCAGAGCCATAAGTGGTGAGGAGTTCTCAGGCGAAGCGCCCGGCCCGCCCTCAAAACTGGCCTCGGGGTGCGACAGGGAGAAATTATGTATCAGGAATAGGAGCGGAGGACTTAGGTAGTATGGCTCCGGGGCGCCTGGACCCTGTTCGTGGGCCCAGTTTCCTGGTGTCACCACCCTGTAGGGCGCGGTGGCCCGACGAAACGATGTGGCTAGGGCCATATTGTTCCAGACGCTGCGGGAAGGTAGACGACGCATGATAACGTGACGCGATATGTGTCGCCCATCTTCGTGCAGAGAGGGAACAGTGACGAATGTTTCAGCTAATGGATGTCGCGAGCTATACGTTCTTGTGGGGATCCACTGAAGGCATGATGAATGAATGATCTGATGAAGCAATCTATCGTGGTACAAAGTCCAGATATGGATGTGGCACAGTGCGATCGACGCACTGTTTCCGTGACATTGGAGGCCAGGATTTGTCCGCCCTTGTTTCGCCGTGCACATTGCCATTGGGTTGCAGGGTAACGGTCTGGACGGGCCAAGCATCGTTTTTTGATATTGCGCTGTGCCGTCATGTGTGGTGCGTGAGGCATAGCCTGTGACATTGATGGAGTCGCGTGTGTGGATGATGCTTCGAATACTTGTGCAGAGCGTGGGGGATGTGTGCAGGACCGCCGGCATTGCCGTCGGGCTGTGTCCTGGAGGTCAGTACCTCTGTGGTGAGCGAGTGTGGGATATTCGGCAGCAGGACCGCTGGCATTGCCGCCGGGCTGTGTCCTGGAGGTCACTACCTCTGGTGTCAGTGTGGCACGAAAGCAGGACCGCCAGCATTGCTGCCGGGCTGTGTCCTGGAGGTCAGTACCTTTGGAGTGCGAGTCTGGAGTGATAGCAGGACCGCCGGCATTGCCGTCGGGCTTTGTCTCGGAGGTCAGTACCTCTGTGATGGGCGAGTTTGGAATATTCGGCAGCAAGACCGCTGGCATTGCCGCCGGGCTGTGTCCTGGAGGTCACTACCTCTGGTGTCAGTGTGGCACGAAAGCAGGACCGCCAGCATTGCTGCCGGGCTGTGTCCTGGAGGTAAGTACCTTTGGAGTGCGAGTCTTGAGTGATAGCAGGACCGCCGGCATTGCCGTCGGGCTTTGTCTCGGAGGTCAGTACCTCTGTGATGGGCGAGTTTGGAATATTCGGCAACAAGACCGCTGGCATTGCCGCCGGGCTGTGTCCTGGAGGTCAGTACCTCGGTGGTGCGAGTGCGGAGTGGAAGCAGGACCGCCAGCATTGCCGCCGCACTTTTTCTTGGAGGTCACTACTTCTGTGGTCTGCGGGTCTGGAGTGATAGCAGGACCGCCGGCATTGCCGCCGGACACAGAGGTCAGTACCTTTGGAGTGCGAGTGCGGAGTGGAAGCAGGACCGCCGGCATTGCCGCCGGGCTGTGTCCTGGAGCTCGGTACTTTGTGTGCGAGTGTGGGACGAAAGCAGGACCGCCGGCATTGCCGCCGGGCTGTGTCCTGGAGGTCAGTACCTCTGGTGTGCGAGTGCCGGCATTGCCGCCAGGCTGTGTCCTGGAGGTCAGTACCTCTGGTGTGCGATTGTGGAGTGGACGTAAGACCGCCGGCATCGCCGTCGGGCTTTGTCTTGGAGGTCAGTACCTCTGGTGTGAGTGTGGGGTGTGGGACGAAAGCAGGACCGCCAGCATTGCCGCCGGGCTGTGTCCTGGAGGTCATAACTTTTGGTCTGCGAGTGTGGAATGACAGCAGGCCCGCCGGCATTGCCGTCGGGCTGTGTCCTGGAGGTAGGTCACTACCTCTGGTGTGGATTGGCAACAGGACTGCCGGCATTGCTGCTGGTGTGTCCTGGAGACCAGCATCCTTGCTGGTCCCTTGCCGCTGTCGCCCCGCTGCTCACTCCGCTGGGGGCTCGGCTGGGCTGCTCGTTGGGTGTGGCTGAGCCACACCCTTAGCGGCGCCCCGTGCGTCCCCAGCCGATTACCCCAGAGGAGTTTGGAGCAGCATCGGCACTGGGGGAGGAGGAGGAGGAGGAGGAGGAGGAGGAGGAGGAGGAGGAGGAGGAGGCGAAGGAGGAGGATGAGGAAAACGGAGGACGGAGGACGGAGGCGGGAGGAGGCAGAGGACGAGGATGAGGACGAGGAGGAGGGGGAGGTGGAGGAGGATGATGATGATGATGATGACGATGATGACGATGATGATGATGATGATGATGATGATGATGATGATGATGATGATGATGATGAGGAGGAGGAGGAGGAGGAGGAGGAGGAGGAGGAGGAGGAGGAGCAGGAGGCAGGAGGAGGAGGGACGAAGTGGGAGCAGAGGGAGGGATGAGGAGAAGGGAGCGAACAGGGAATGGGTTGACAATAATATTCATATCGATGTTCCACGTATATGGAAAAACACCAGAGAGCAATCCGAGCAGTGTATTCCTATTTTTGCATGCGCTCCACGCCCATCCTCTCGTGTTTCAAACATCTCCCTTTTAGATACACAAATGTTTTAGATATGCGTATATGTATCTCCTTTATTCCCGGCATATATTGCTTGATATGCCGTCTTACCTCGCTCTGCATTAGTTTGTTTCGTGTCTACTCTCAGCTTCATAAGTGTGTAAACATATATGCATGCATACATTTTCAATGCTTGTGTGTGTGTGTCTGTCTCTTGTTTGTTAGTTGTGTGTGTCTCTCTCTCTCTCTCTTTCTCTTTCTCGCTCTCCCAATGCACCTTTCTCTTTTTCTTCTTCTTCTTCTTCTTCTTCTTCTCTCTATACTCTATACCCATCTTCGCGCGATGCCTTCTACTCCATCCTTCAGTCTGATATCTAATCCTGCTCGCAAATGCTTTCTCGCTTTCTCCTTTTCCAGACCCTCTGATCAGCTCTGCTCGCAACTCTCTGACCCCTTCATACTCTTTACGGTGAAAGACCCAAGCACTTGGCCACGACCCCGACATCCAGAACCCCAGAACCTTCCGCTGCCAGGAATCCCGAAACTGGAACCAGAAAACCGGAAACCCACCAAACCTTACACTGCCAGGGACTCTGGAATCGGGAACAGGGAGCCCAGGAACCCAGCCGCCCATCGAACCGGGAATTTGGGAATCCAGCCAACATTAGACTGCCGAGAACTCACGAACCAGGAATTGGGAACCCGGCCAACCTCATACTGCCGGGAGCTGCAGAACTGGGGACCTGCGAACCCAGCCGACTTACACCGCCGAGAACCCCAGAACCAGGAAGTGATAACCCCGTAAACCCAGCCGCCCACCGAAATCGGGCCAGGAACTGGGAACCGAGAGCCCGGGAACCCAGCAGCACACCGATATCGGATTTCAACCTCCGCGAGGGCCCCTTGAGTGCAAGCACTGATAGGGGAATATGGCTTGCCCGCCTCACAAGATCACCTCGATTCCTATGTGCTCGCCCGCCGAAGTGACACCCGAAGGAACGACATGGACGCCGCCTACAGCGTCTATCATTGGATGAGCCCATACGCAGTAGTGTATCATTAAGCTTAGCGGTCCAGAACTGCACGCCCACTGCATCCCACGAAAACCATCTCAGCGGAAACGGCCAGTCGCCAGTTGCATGCAACAAACGACAGGAACCACACCAAAACCGTAGTGCAGTGACAATCACCGAAGCTACTGCGTTGGCATTACTGCGGGCCTCAAGAGGTTGACAAAAGCAGACGCTTTGTAACAACCATTGCCGAAGAGAAATGACTTCTTCACAAATGCATCAACAGATGGTCTTGGGCAGCGTGGCCACCACTCTACTGTTGTGCCGCACGAAAGCATGTCAAGGCTCACAAACTCAACGATCTACTGCCCCGAAGTACGCTGCACAATAACCGCTGATACGACAGGAATTGGCAGCTCACGGAAGAGATGAAACAACATTGGGTTCAATCCAACCTCAAGCAACCAATCCTACGTCGGCCTTGCGCTGGCCAGGCTCAACCGAAACAGTAAAAGCGTCTGCCTTGCGCTGGCCAGGCTCAGCCGGTAAACCCACTGCCTGGTTGTGGACCCCACAGAACAGGATGAGCACCCCAGAGGACTCTCCAACGCAGTACCGCCATCCGAGTGGTCCTTGAGCCAACGGAAGGCCCATGAAGATGCCGAGAAGGGTGCTGGAGTAGATGCGCAACCGTCGAGCCGGTCAACACTTCGTCCAGTTGCGCCATCCGACCGCTGCTGCACCCGCATCCGCGGCAGACCTCGGAGCCCCCCGGGCGCCGCGAGAGGGTACGCGGCGCGGCGGGAGGCCCACCGCCGGGCCAAGAGCTGCGCACGAGCCTGCCGCAGCCGTTTTGGCTCAGGGAGGGGCGTCGTTTTTTTTCGCCGGCAGGCCCGCACCGCCCTGGCCCACAGGCCGCCGCCGCACCGCCGCCAAGAGATCGCCAGCCTGGACCACATCCCTATCCCTATGATTGGCATCGCCTCATCTCGGTGCCGATCTTAGGGATTCCCTGCGTTTCTGAGGGCGCATCCCTAAGATTGTCGTCGACTTTCGGCTTTCTAATCTCAGGGGTAGGGGTACGTTCGAGGCTGGTGAAGAGATGCCGTGCTGGGACGTCGAGAAGACCGGCTCGTGCCCCCGGGTCGCGGCGGGCCAGAGCTGCAAGTGGTGCGCCGGCGCGCCCGACGACGGCTGGGTGCCAAAGGGCAAAGGCAAGAGCTTCGGGAAGCCGGTGATGATGAAGGGCTACGGGGGCGTGTGGCAGCCCGATTTCCAGAAGGGCGGCGGCAAGTGGGGCGGCGGCTGGGGCGGCAAGGGCTGGGGTGGCGGAGGAGGCTCGAGGGGTGCCAACAAGAACGTGAAGGCAGAGAATGCAGCGAGCACGGTCTGGCTGGGGGGCATCCCCGCAGGCGTCACCAAGGAGGAGATTGCGACCAACTTCGAGGCTGCAGGGTCCGTGAAGATGGTGGAGCTCATCAAGCAGGGCAAGGAAGGCTTCATCATCTTCTCCTCGCCAGAAGAGGCCACGTCCGCGATTGCGATGTTCAATGGCGCCGCCATCAACGGATCAGCCATCCAGGTTGACGTGTGGACCATGAAGGAGAAGACTGCTTGATCGTGAGACTGCCATGCGCTAGTTATGGTTTTGCACCGGCGCGCTAGTCAAAGGTAGCTCAGGCGGTGACCGTGTATGCTTACACATTTATTTATCTATCCTGATCGGCTCTCATTGCCTATCTCCCTGATGTTGGACGTGCCTGCGTTGGAGCAGCTTTCATCACTTCGTATTCTCATTTCGTGTTATCTGTCGCAACTTCTCGAGTCTCACATTCTCGCTTCGCTTGGGATGTAGACAATCATGACGCTCGACGATAACAAACGCTATGGATGTATAAGCTCGGTTGCGAGCTGCGTGGGGAAAACAACGAAACAAATGACGGATGTTTCTCGAGCCGCATGTGTTTGAGGAGGAGGGAGGAAGAGGAGGATGAGGAAGAGGATGTTGATGAGGAGGAGGAGGCGGAGGAGGAGGATGTGGAAGAGGAGGAGGAGCAGGAGAAGCAGGAGGAGGAGCAGGATCCGTGTAAACCAAAGACGCACTGACGATGTTGTAATCAATCCTTCCTCCAAGTTCTCTCTTCATAAGTCCCTACAAGAATTCATTCCCATGGTAGGAAGTGCTCCATTGAAAGACAACCGTCTGAGAATCCCCAATCGTGCCAGAACGCTATTCCTGGGACTTCAATGCCGCGAATCAGCGAGACTGCTGCGTCTGGACAATCCTAACTCCTGCCAGAGCACCATTCCTGGGACCCCGACACCAAGAATCAACATGGTTGTTGCGTCCTGACAATCGTACCTGAACACCATCCCTGGGACTTCAACCTTACGAGCCCTTGACACGGTTGTAAGCTTTGAGGGCGGATGCGCGCGACGCTACAGCCAACACGCTGGAATAAGGAACAGTTTGAATTCGGAAGGGGCTCGATGTTCCTTGCGTCCTTCCGTGGTTGTTCCTCTAGCCCTTCTCGTGCATCCAGGCTTTTTTGAAGCCACAGAGGGGCTTCGTTCCTTATTTTGCGTTCCTTGTTTCAGCAGCCCGACTGTCAGGCGAGAGCCACATTTTGAAGAGGACCCGGCCTTCACCCGTGAAGCTGTTCCAAGCTTTCAAGACGAATGCGAGCGGTGCTAAGGCGAGAGCCACATTTTGAAACCGCGGCCCCTCAATCTGTGAAGCTGCTGTAGATATTCAAGCCCCAGGATCATAGGTGGTGACGAAGTCGCAGTCGAAACGTCTTGCCTGGCCTGCCAACATGTTCGGGGGTGCGACAGGGAGAAGTTAATTATAAGTAGAAGGGATGGAGGGATGGAGGGCGATGGGGAGAGGGAGGAAGAAGGGGGGAGGAGGCACGAGGAGGAGGTGGCTGAGGAGGAGGGGAAGGAGGAGGAATATGAGGAGGAGGAGGAGGACGAGAAGGAGGAAGAGGAGGCGGAGGATGAGGAGAAGGAGGCGGAGGCGCAGGCGGAGGCGGACGAGGCGGCGGAGGCGGAGCAGGAGCGGGAGGAGAAGGAGGAGGAGGAGGTGGAGTCGGAGGAGGAGGAGGAGGAGGAGGAGGAGGAGGCGGAGGCAGAGAAGGAGGAGGCGGAGGCGGAGGCGCAGGCGGAGGCGGACGAGGAGGCGTAGGCGGAGCAGGAGCGGGAGGAGAAGGAGGAGGAGGAGGTGGAGTCGGAAGAGGAGAAGGAGGAGGCGCAGGAGGAGGCGGAGGCGGAGGTGGGGGCGGAGGAGGGGGAGGAGGAGGAGGAGGAGGAGGAGGAGGAGGAGCAGGAGGAGGAGGAGGAGGAGGAGGAGGAGGAGGAGGAGGAGGAGGAGGAAGAATACCGCCACAGGTACTTTCCTAGGGTTTGATCAACGTGAACAAGGAGGAGGAGGGTGAGGGGGGGAGGAGTAGAATGACGAGGAGGAGGAGGAAGGGGAAGAGGAGAAGGAGGAGGAAGGCCGTATGCGGGAAACTCGCACGTATCCCCCGCACGCGAGGGGGGGACAGGCCTCAGCCCGCTGACCGCGCCGCGGCTGGCTGGCGCCAACAGGCTTGGGCCATGGCTTGGTCAGAGCACGGCGCGCCTGTCTCGTGCCGGAAGCCCTGGTGCGACAATAATGAGGATGGGCAAACAAACCCCCAGGGTCCAGGCGAGTGCGGCAGAAACGAAAAGCTAAGCAATTGGCAGCCCGGCGGCTAGCCTGCGGCGGCAATTTGGGTACAACAGAGACCTACAGGCCCAGCTCACATGGTGGGCAGTATGGTGGCAGCCGCAATGTGAAACCCATCGGGAAAACATCTTGATCAACGCCCTCCGCGTTCATGATTAGCACACTCTGCCACGATAAGATGCTGTGCTACAAGAACGCGCAAGGCAACCAGCATATGCCGGGCCAGGAGAAAGCGCAGGGCTACGAGAAGGCGCTGAGCCACCCGAGGACGCTGGTCCACCAGGGCACGCCAGGCCACGAGAGCGCCCGAGGCTCGGAGCAGGCGCTGGGCCAACGAGAGCGCGCTGGGCCACGAGATGGCCCTGGGGTGCGAGAGCGCGCTGGACCACGAAAACGCGCTGTGCTACTAGAACACGCTGGGCCACCGGGATACGCTGGGCCCCGAGATCCCGCTGGGACACGAGAAGGCACTGTGCTGCGAGAGCAGGCTGGGCCACGAGTGCGCGCTTTGCCACGAGGAGGCCCTGGGCCACATGACTTACTACGAGAAGCCGCCGAGCCACCAACGCGCGCTGGGTCGGCAGGACGCCCTGGGCCGCGAGACGACGCACGAGAGCGAGCCGCGCCTCGAGGAGGCGCTGGGCGACCAGAACACGCTGGGCCACGAGAACACGCTGGGCCACGCGACGGCGCTGGTGTACGAGGAGGCGCTGAGTCGCCGCAGCAGGCTGGGCCACCGGCACAATCTGGGCCATGAGCAGGCGCGGGGCAACAAAAAAACACGCTCGGCCACGAGAGCGCGCGGGGCCAGGAGGAGCCCCGTGGATGGCAAAATCGCGGCTGCGCCTGGTAGGGTTACAGGCAGCGCGGGACTTGCACGGCGCTGAAGGTGAGCTGGGAGATCGGGATGCCTCAGCAGAGCGATGGGAATTCAAATCTTGCGCCGTCGCGAACAAGGCCAAGCGCACCACTGTGGAGTGCGCGCGGTGCGCGTCCAAGAAGGCGTTGGCAGCAATATTCTTCCAAGCTGCCGTGGGCGTTCAATATTACGACATGTCCGTGCACGGCTACGTCTTCAGCCGCTTATGCGACCTGGCGGCCAACGCGACAGCTGGAGTAAACTTCCTGCTCGAGGAGCTGCGCAACGACAAGGCGACGTTCGGCACTTCCTGTTTGGGGAGTCTGAGTTCGAGCCCGCGTGCGAGCCTCGCCTCGTGATGTTTCTGACCTCCGTGCTCCTCCCCAGGGCCGAGTGGCCGCGTGCGCAGTGGCCGCCCCTCCTGGACGTGTCACTGCGTTGTTATGTGTTTGATTGGGGGATTCCGTGCCTGACCGACCCGACGTCGCGCCCGAGGCCGCCCTGCCGCCCGTGCGTCGCACAGCGGCGAGGCCTCCCGTTCCCGATGCTGTCTTTCCCCAGACACGGCCCTCGCCAGCGTGCGAGGGATCCTGGAGCGGCGAGCGCGGGCCTGCGGGGCGCGGCTGTGTGGCTTCGGATATAGAACGCCGTGGGATGGTGGTGCGCAGCAGCAGCAGGAGGAGGAGGAGGAGGAGGAGGAGGAGGAAAACGAGGATGAGGAGAATGAGGAGGAGTTGGAGGAGGAGGAGGAGGAAGAGAAGGAGGAGGAGAAGAACGATGAAGGCGGGCACGACAACGACGAGTCAACTATAAAGCCTTCGCGAAGCTTTCGATCCGCGAACCTCTTGGAAGAGGCATCTGGGAGCCATTTCGGAGCCAATGTGGAAGCCTTCTTGGCCCTATTGGGGACTTCCTGGGGCACTCTTGGGGCTCTTTGGGGGGGCCTGGGAGGACTTGGGGCCGTCTTGGGCCCCATGGCTCAAAACATGGGAGGGAATACATTCAGGACCCCCCCTCCAGAGGCTGAACAGTTGCGTCTTTGGGCCGTCGTGGGGCGCTCTTGGGCGCGTCTTGGGCGCTCTTTGGGCCGTCTTGGGGCCGTCTTGGGCCCCTCTTGGGGCTCTCTTGGGCCAACCTGGGGCCACCTTGATGCCTCGAAGGCCAATCGGAATCGAGAAGGCGAGAAGGCACAGCGCATTTATGTTCGGAGCGTCCTGACGGGGCTCCGAGAGCACGTGGTACCGTCGTGGAGCGGTCTTGGAGCCTGGCTATCCTAAACCATCTTGAGGTATCTTGGGCTGTTTGGGAGGCCATCTTGTGCTCTCTGAGGCCCCCTTGGAGCCATCTGGAGCCATCTTGGACGCTCTGACCGATCGCGCCCCCCCCCCCCGTCGATGACCAGTCGAGGGGGTTAGGGGGAGGGGTACACCCCTCCCCCGAGAAGGGGAAGGATTGATCTTGGAAGAGGGAAGGAAACAACTCGGTCAACCACCTACGCCCAGAGGGCTGGTATGATTGTAGCGCGAGTGTGCGATGCGATCGGGCGAGAGCAACATTTTGAACACCCTCCCCCCATCGTTGAAACACTTGCCAGCTTCTATGTCGAATGTGCTCGGCGCTAAACGAGAATTCCATGTTGCAAAGGAACCGCCCTCGATCTTGGACACGGCTGCGAGCTTTTAAAGGGGGGTGTGCGCCGAGCTAAGGCGAGAGCCACACTTTGAAAACCACCCGCCCTCCATCCGTGAAGCTGTTGCAGTTTGTCAAGCCTCAGGGCCATAGACGGTGAGGAAGTCTCAGACGAAACGCCCAGCCCGCCTTACCAACACGTCAGGGGGTGCGACAGGGGGGAGTTCATTATTAGGAGCTGGGATGGAGAACCGTTGCTCGCATCCAAACGAAAACTCCTGTGGTTTCAGTCCCTGAGGTGGTGTCCATTGACTTCCAGGGATTCAAAACAGGCTCCAGGAGGTGGAGTGTGGGCCGCGTCTTGGCGCGACGTCCTCAAACACCCCTGACGAATCCAAAAATTCTGGTCACCTTCTGGGGGCCCCATCCACTCCCATCGGTGCGGAACGGATGCAGTTCGAGACGAGGGCGGCAGCGGGGGTGACCACTGTGCCTTAGACAGGTCAGTACGTGGCCGAAGAGGGAGGAAGGCAGAGGCAAGCTTGCAAACATACTGCGAGACCTTGACGAGCGCGTCCGCTGCTGACGCCTGCTCATCTGAAAGACGCGGGTGTGTCTCGGCACCCAGCTTTGCAGCTCTGTCCGCAGCGTCGTTCCCGCGGCGACGAAATCTTTCGTCGTCGCCTGTGTCGGGACCGTCAGGAGATAACTGAGCATTGACCTTCTCGCACCCAAGGATCTTGTTACCACTGAGGGCCCGGGACTGCGCGGCACGACCAGCATACGGGCGTTTGGGTGACAACTGATCAATCAATGGCAATGCGTGCATACTGACAACGTTCTGACAATCGGAATAACAAGTCGTCGGGCCACTGGCAAGCGCGCTGGCGACAGCGTATGCAGTGAACTCTCCAGCCCGTGGGGTCTGGGGGCAGCTGTCCCAGACGGGGACCCCAAGCCAGGGCGAGCGTGTGGCCTCGAGGCCCGAGCATCGCTATCCCCCAGCCCGCACGGTTGGAGCCACGCACAGCGCTACGATAACAAGAACCATCCAGGAAAACGTGGCCCCAAACCTTCCTAGCACCGTCTTGCGGCATAACTAGACCCTCGGCTTCGAAACCTTCAGGGAGGAAACGAAACTGAAAACCATCGTTAGAGCCAGAACCGTCGGCGATGGGTGGGGGGAACTCACATTCGGGATGGCTGGATAGGCCCGAGATAGCAGCGAAACGCTGCCTGTCGTCATCATCTCCATGATTACGTGTAATCGTGTTAGCGAAGTCCCGAGGGACGAATCGCCAACCTCTCCTCCTCCACCGCTGGGCAGCACCAGAGCCTGTGCAACAGGGTGCCCCCCTGGTGGTGGCAAAGAGGGCACTCGTCGGCGATGTCGCAACCAGCTGCTCGGGCTCGCGAGAAAGGCCAAACTCCTTGGCTGGCAGGGCACTTGATGGTTCCTTCTGACGAGCTGAAAACTGTTTGGGCCTAAGGGCACGAGCAACAACGTCAAATCAAAGACGGGTAACGCCATCCGTGCTCCACATAGCCGCGGCATCTCTCTCGAGGCTCCGCCACCCCCCCTCCCTCATGTGGATCTTGAGGATCGAGGGAGGGTAAGAGAATGCTCGGCTTTGAGGTCGCTGGTCATGACAAAGGGGGAAGGCGTGCTCCAACCGATCCTGGCCGAGGACAGTTTCGGTGCGCCAGGTCCAGCTCCGCCCGAGCGCCCCGTGCCAGAGGTCGCGCAACTCAGCCCAGGTAAAACAAACATCCGTGGCCCTCACGTTCCCGGTCCAAACTCCTGGCGCGGCAAAGCCCCACCTTGAGGCATCTCTCACGAGCCTGCTGAGAATGGTCCAACTGCGGCCTCCTACAGCAGGCTTCAGGGTGGCAGCGCACATGTTCCTGTGGTTGAGGAGTTCCCCGTCGCTAACTCCATGAATCTCAGCCCCTTAAGTCGCCCGTGCAAGAGATCCTGTGGCACATAAGTTAACAGCCCTTTGTCGTATCACCCCTCTCTGGCGGGCCAGTCTGCCAGCTCGACGCGTCGCCTTGCGCAGGCGGGCCTTCGCTTAGCCGTCGCGCCCGCGCGCTCGCCCAGCTCCGCCAGCGGAGCCGCCGACCCCAGGGTGGACGATGGGCTCCGGGTACACTCCCCCGAGCTCCCCCTTGCGTTTCCGAAGTTGCCTGGAGGTGTCCCTGGACGAGGAGACCAGCCCGACCTCGTCCATCGCAACCTTGGCCTGCAAAAACAACGAAGAGCAAACATAAGGGCCATCGCGGTAGCGAAGCTGCAACCAGCGACGATTCCAGTGCGAGCAAGCATCGGGGTAGCAGCAACGCCAGAGAGAGTCAAGGAACGAGGCGACCTGTAACCAGCGAGACACAAGGCCGCGATGGCGCTGGGCAGCCCGTGCTGCGCGCATCTGAGAGCGAGGAGGTCGAGCGGGGATGCGCTCGCAGTGCTCGGCGAAGTGCCACGGGAGGGCGCAGGCGTGGCCAGCCTGGGATCGAGAGCGCTCCGAGCGCGCAGCCTGGCGCCAATCCGCACCACTGGCCGATTTGTACTGTCCCGCCGCCCAGTGGCTCCTCTGGTTGTTGGCCTCCCAGGCTCTGGCATACTCGCTCCTGCCTTTCCCCCGCGGACGAAGAAGATGGGGACGGACCCTTATGGGTCTGAAGCCTGAGGTAGGCTTCGGCAGGAGAGCGCTGATGACCGCTTGGAGCTGCATGGACAACGTGCCCGGCTTCTCCATCAAAGTAAAAACAACCGCGAACGCACGCGCAGAAAGGGCCGAGAAGTGCCGAAGACGAAAACCGTCCAAGCCGACCGCGGACCCATGGGCGAACGTTTTGGAGCATCTTCTAATGACTTCGATCGAGAGGGGAGGGAGGGGGGGTGTTGTTCTTCCCTGCCTGGCGAGCTGGAGCGGGACGGGCCTCCCGCAGTTCGCGGAACCTGCTGGCCTCGACGGCCGAGAGCGACTGCGGGTAAGACGCCACGCGCCCGTCCGAGCTCAGAGTAGCGCTGGGCTTCCATCCTTGGGGATCCTTGGTGTAAGAGTGAGGCTTCCTTCCTCCTTGGCCAACGTTCTCAGTGGGCCAGTCGGCCCAGTCCCCCCCGAGCTCGGCGGGCGAGAGAACAAAAGCAGCGCACCGAGCGGCAGAACCCTCGGAGACACCTTTCGCTGAGCCGAGAAAAAACTGGCCCTGCATGCGCTCCAGGGCCTCCTCCGAAGCCAGGGGGCTCCCGAGGAGATCGCCGGCCAGGCTCCGAGCTCGCGCGAGCGCGTCTCTTCCTTCCCAGGGAGGGGGCCGTCGGGCGTGCGCAAGCCAGGAGGAGGGGGGAGGCCGGCGCCCGCGCCATGTCCGGCGCCCGCTGCCCACCGCCGCCCATAGGGGCACGGGTGCAGACACGCTTCACGGTAGAAGCCAACTATTTACAGGCGTGACGTGGGGGGCATCTGCAGTCAAAAACCCTTGCGGCTTTGCTCAGGGTGCCCTTGCGTCCTTGCTCTTCCTTGCCCTTGCGTCCTTGAGGTTTTCGTCGTCCGCCGCCCCAGAAATCCCGACTTCGGCTTCCGAGGGTCTTGCGTCCTTGCTGCGCGTCCTTCTTAGGGTTCTTGATTGCAGACGCAAGCTATTGACAGGCGTGACGTTGGGGGCCTCTCGCGCTGCCGTGGTCTTTGCCCAGGGTCGGCCTCCAGCGGGCGACGGGCCCCTGGCCCCCTCGTGCCCCGGGCAGGAAGTTTGACCCCGAAGGTCCCGGCCAGTCCGCGCTCCGCAAGACCGGCCCGCGATGCGCGGGCTTCCTCGTGAGGTGCCTTGGCGGTCGTCGCTCGGTCGGCCCCCCGCTCGGCTCGCAACAAAATGTGGCGCTGAGCTGCGCCTCGGCCCCGGGGAACTCCATGGGCTCTGGTTGAGGGCCGAACGGCACCGCGGTAGGGTTAGCTGGAGGACGCCGAAAAGTAAGATAGTGTAGTTTCGCCAAGCCAGCGTAAAACAAACAAACTGATCCGCAGGGCATGCGGGGAAAGAAGCCAGCCTCGTCGATCGTCTTAACTTTCGAAACGCCCTTCGAAAGTCCCGAGGAAACCACGATGTAGCCATGCGTCTTGCCAGACCCAGCATGTCAAGTGCGTCCAGCTGGTTCAACCATTTGGCCCACCAGAGTCCCAACAAACTTCGATTCCGCAAGATTGCATGGCTCCATGTTCCAGTCGCCGCCCGCCAATAATGGTTGCCCACGCGTGGACCCCTCAGCCCCCGCCGCCGACAGAACATCGAGGTTAGCATCTGACAGGCCCTCGGGATCCGGAAGATATAATGAGCAAGCCTGGAAGGCAACTCCGCCTGCTGCATGGACCGCGGCCGAGATCGCCCGGCGGGGGGCGATCTCGATGCCCGAGGGAGGGGGGTGGATGCCCAAAGAGGACCGACACAACATAGAAACTCCAGCCGAAGGGCCACCTCCTGGTCCAGGGGTTCCTGGAATCCAGAGGCTCTTGAAGCCCTGGTTGAGACAAAAAGCCGAGGCCCTGTCCAACTCTTCGGAGGTGAGAAGTTTATGCTCCTGGATGAGAGTGGCTTCTGCTGAGACGCCGGGCAACCAATCCTTCACCGACCCCCAAGAGTTGCCGTTGACTGACGCGGCTCGAAGGCGAAACGACTCGGCTTCTGGGGGCGGTGGTGGGGCGAAAGGCCCCTGCACTTTGACGCCAGAAAAAGCACCTGCCAGGAGGGGCTGCCTGTCCTCTCTGGCCGTTCTGAGCAGCCATCGTATCGAGGGGAGTCGAGGGAGACGAGGCATCTTGACACGATGGGGGCATGCCGTGAGGGTGCGTTTGGCCTGGGGGGGGGGGGGGGGGGCGGCGGCCTTAGGGTGCTCGCCGAGCTCCTCCTCTACCACCCCCCCGTGGCAGACGGATCCCGCCCGCGCTGCCAAAGAGGCAGCGGCGCGATTCCCGCTCCTCGTGCTGACAGCAGCCCCCGACAGGGGGCCCGCGGTACTCGGAGGGCCCACGGCGACTGCCACTTCCTCCACACCACGCGAGGGGGTGACAGAGGCTCCACGCTCCTCTGCATGCCCAGCCGAAGAAAAGACGCCGTGTGGCTCACTGCGAAGTCGTGGGCGCCTCCCCCCTCGGGCTGCTGTGCCCTCGGGGGGGCAGCCTGTTCGCGGACCCCGCTGGGCGAGGTCGTGAGCCGGGGGCGGGCCCGGGCGAGCCGCCGCCTCCTCCGGCCGCAGAGCTGGCTGCCGCTGAGGAGGTAGCTCCGCCCCCGTCGCCGCCCGCGGAGGCGTCGCCCGAGGGGCCGCGGCGCCGCTCCCCCGCCAGCCGCCGGAGGTAGCTCTCGTGCTCCTCCTTGGCGACGCTGGCGCGCTCGGTGGCCAGTGCGAGGAGGGCCTCCGCGGCCCTGCCGATGTGTCCCTTGACATGCGTCCTCCTGCGTTCCACTGCGGCCGGGTCCGCTTCGTCAGTGCCGTCGACGTCCACCGGGAACAAGCCTCCGTCGTCAATCGTGAGGTTGGCGACCTTACCGTCGACAGGGTCCTGCAACGGCAATACTGGGCCCTTGTCGCAGCGGGCGGCTCCTTTGACTTCAGGGACCACTGCCATATGGAGCTTAGCAACCAGCTGACGATGTTCCTCCATCATGGCCTGGCTCTGCTTGGACATGTCGCGAATGAGAATTTCCTGGGCCCGCACTCCTTCCCGCCGCCTCGCGAGCTTTGCCAGTTCATGCTCCAAGCGCTGACCCAGCTTCTTGATGCGGTGGTGGAGGCCGGAGACCTGGTCCTGGAGCGCCTTGCGGGGAGGTCTCGCCGCCTCCGCCAGCTGACCCAGCTTGGTCTGATAGCGGGCCGCGGCCTCCTCGTCGCCAATGCGCTTGGAGGAGAGGGTGACCAGCATCTGCAACTCCTTGGCGTCGAGGGGGCCGTCAGTCGCCCCTGCGGGCGCTCCATGCCCAGGCGAGCGCCCTGGAACCTGTGGCCCAGGAGGGAGGACGGCCCACTCTCCAGGTGGGTGATACCCTGGAGCGCGAGGAACGCCCTGCTGATGAGCCCACACACCACCAGGAGCGCGAGGATCGCCAGTGGAGGGCGCTTGTCGGGCGGCTCCACAGCGCTTGCAATACCAATGCCGTACACTCGTCTTGCCGCACCCACATGAGACACACTTCCACCGATCGCCGCCCTGCGTCTGGTCGTGCTTGGCGGTCTTGCCCTGGCCCTGCAAGGGGTACGTGTTGTCATATCCTTGTCCCCAGCTGCTGCTGCTGCTGCTGCTGCGCCATGAAGCGCCCGAGGAGCGCCAGGGTGGGAAACTGCCGCCGCCTCTGCCAGCACCGCCATGGGACATGGGAACTGTTGGGAGAGAGAACTGAGATCGAAACATAATTTTTACCCGCGGATGTCTTGCCGTTCTGAAGAGAAGTATCCGCAAGCGCAACACCTGCGCCATAATGGCTGAGGAACAGGAGGAGGAGGAGGAGGAGGAGGAGGAGGAGAAGGAGGAGGAGGAGGAGGAGGAGGAGGAGGAGGAGGAGGAGGAGGAGGAGGAAGAGGGGGAGGAGGGGATGGGGGAGGAGGAAAAGGAGGAGGGAGGTAGGAGTGAGGAGCAAGGGGCTAGGCAGAGGAGGAGGGAGGAGAGGGAGGAGGAGGAGAGGGAGGAGGGAGGATGGAGGAGAGGGAGGAGAGGGAGGAGGGAGGAGGGAGGACGACGAGGACGACCCCCGCAGGAGGATGCGCTCGTGGGCATCTCCGACGACGACTTCCCCCCGAGCGCCGACGCCCTCGCCCGCGGCCGGCACGGACGGAGCAGCGGGCACCTCCTGCAGAGCGCAGGCGCCCTCCGGGGGGCCACGGGCATCGGTGCTCGGGGTCGGACGTTGGATCCCAGCAGTGCTCGCGTCGTGAACAATACGTTGCGGCGGGAGGTTCTCGGGCGGTTTCGTCGGCCCTCGGCGGTTTCCCCGCCTCTGGGTGGTCTCCAGCAGCTCTGCGCCTCGCCGAGGACGTGCCGAGGAGGCCCAGGCCGGCCGCCCGAGAGCCGAGCTGTGGCCCGAAAGCGCCGACGTGTTCGCGTCGTGAGGCAGTCACGGCGGGAGGTCGGTGGAAGTTTTTTTGGGGGGGCCCGTGCGCCACGGGACCGCAGCACGGTTCGGGATGAAGACCTGGTCCCTGGGAGGGAATTTAGGTTTCAGAGGCTTGAGTGTGTGATTTTGAGGTGTTGAGTTGAGGCGTGATGTTAAAAGTGTGATGTTGAGGCATGATATAGAGGTTTAAGTGTGTGATTTAGAGGTTTGAGGGTTAAGGTGCGAGGTTCGATCTCAAGTGTCCCTCGGACCCGGACGTTACATTATTTGGCGCTGGGCGTTGTCGCCCAGGGTCGGGCCAGGGGGCCATCGCAGATCGATCTGGCTCGAGAAGTGCCGCAGTGAGATGGGGTCCGGGGCTTCCGGTGGTGATGTTTAGCGATGTTGCAGTTTTTCCGCAACATCGGATCTCGGGTGTCGAGGTTCTATGCCTTTCGAGGTCGACGCCGTCGCTCCCATCAGGCCCACTTCGATTTGTCCTCGTCTGGACGCTGTGGAGCTGGCCGCGGCGCCCGAGAGGTCCTCCCGATCCGCCAGCTCTCAGAGGTCCCCGATGCCAGACATCTGATGCCTTGATTTTTTCATTGCTGTGGCCCAGAAAAGTCACGACCTTTCTTCCCAGGGCCAGTTTTTCACCCCAAGGCGCTGTTTGGCGGCCCGGGGCACGGCGAGGGTTCCCGGAACTCGAAAATTGCCAAAAGCCTCCTGTCAACCGTCGAGATTTTTTCACGACGCAAACATGATGTCTGGGATTTTGGGCCATTGCTCGGCTCTCCGGCGGCCGTTCGGGACGATCTGGGCATCCTCGGAAGGCCCTCGGCGAGGCGCAGCTGCTGGAGAGCATCTTCCCAAAGCTGGGAAACAGCAGAGTTCCGATGAAACCGTCCGAATACCTCGAACCTCGAAACTTGATTCCTCGATCTGCCCTCGTCCGACCTTGAACCCAGTAACCGGGCTTACCTGGTGGGGGGAAGGAGTGGTGAGGCGCCATCCGATAATCTAATCCATTCGCTTTGGACAGACCCACGTATTGCCCGCGCGCACCAGCACCCAGCACTGCGTACCCCCTTGTGACCTGCGCAACCGACAAGGTCAGGCTATCCGACGGGGGGGAGGGGGGGGCTTGCGAAGCTGGCTTGCGCCACACGTCCCTCCTCCACTTCTCTTCCTTCGAGTGAAGCTGTGTCGAGGCCCCGCCAGCCGCACGCAGCGTGGGTTACAGCCATGCACTTTTACCGAGCGCAAGCGTTCCAGCCGCGCGGCGTGTGGGCTCCAGCCATGCACTTCTACCCGGCGCGAGCGTTTCCAGCCGCACACGGCGCGGGTTGCAGCCATGTGCTTTCACCGAGCGCGAGCGTTCCAGCCGCCAAATTAGCACATTAGTCTTCTGACAGTAGGAATACCTAGGGATGCACGTTTTCACTAGCCGACTTCTTAGTCCTCGACCAGCCACTTCACCTTTACTGCCAGTAGGGTGCTTCGCTGGGGTAATTGCTTGTTCTACTTGGATGCTTCGCAAGGATCATTTTGGCATCAGGGGTCCATGGCACTGCGGGCCAGTCGAGGAGGAGTTCGGCGATGACAATGATTAGGCCAAGGATGATGACGGTGGTGGTGGTGGTGGTGGTGATGATGTTGCTGATGATGATGATGATGATGCTGATGATGTTGATGAGGCGAGGGTGAATGAGAGGACGGACGAGAGACAGGATGAGGAGGGTGACGAGGAAGTGGAGGTGGTTGATGTTGTTCGTGATGATGATGGTGCTGGTGGTGCTTGCGATGATGGTGCTGATGATGATACTGCTGCTGATGGTGTCAATGATGATGGTGTTGTCGTCGATGATGATGCTGGTGCTGATGATGAGGATGAGGATGAGGATGATGGTGATGATGATGCTGCTGATGCTGACGATTGTGATCATGATGATGATGCTGATGATGCTGATGATGCTGCTGATGATGATGAAGATATGAGGATCGGGGGTTGGGCTGAGGCGGATGATAAGCACGATACTGATGATGCTGATGATGATGCTGCTGATGCTGATGCTGATGATCATGCTTATGGTGGTTGTGGTGGTGATGATGATATTGTTGCGAGATGGTGATAGTTATGGTGATGACGGTGATGATCGTGATGGTAATGCTTCTGTTGTTGCTGTGACTGCTGCTGATGTAGATGACGGTGATGATGCTGATGATGCTGGTGTTGCTGCTGCTGCTGATGATGATGATGTGTTGATGATGCTGATGGCGACGATGATGACTATGATGATGACGATGCTGATGACAATGATCATGATGGTGATGATGATAGTGCTGATGATAATGATGATGCTGGTACTGATGATGAGGATGAGGATGAGGGTGATGATGATGATGATCATGATGATGATGATGATGATGATGATGGTGATGCTGATGCTGATGGTGCTGATGATGACGATGATGATGATGATGCTGCTGGTACTGATGATGAGGATGATGATGAGTATGAGGGTGAGGATGATGATGATCATGATGATGATGCTGATGCTGAGGCTGATGCTGATGCTGCGGATGATGCTGCTGCTGATGATGATGGTGATGCTGCTGCTGATGATGATGATGGTGATGGTGATGCTGCTGATGATGATGATAGTGGTCATGATGATGGTGATGCTGCTGATGATCATGATCTTGATGCGGCTGCCGCTGCTGCTGCTTGCTGATACTGCTGCTGCTGTTGCTGCTGCGGCTGCTGCTACTGCTGATGCTGCCGGTGATGATGATAATGATGATGATGATGATGATGACGATGATGATGATGATGATCATGATGCTGATGATGCTGATGATGATGGTGCTGATGATGACGATGACGATGATGAAGATAGTGATGATGATGCTGCTGATGATGATGCAAGTACTGATGATGATGACGCTGCTGCTGCTGATGATGATGATGATGAAGATGCTGATGCTGATGATGACGATGATGCTGATGCTGCTGCTGATGATGATGCTGCTGATGATGCTGCTGCTGATGATGCTGCTGATGATGATGATGGTGATGATGATCATGATGCTGCTGCTGATGGTGATGATGATGATGATCTTGATGCGGCTGCCGCTGCTGCTGCTTGCTGATGCTGCTGCTGTTGCTGCTGTTGTTGCTGTAGCTGCTGGTGCTGAGGATGCTGCTGCTGCTGATGACGATGATGATCATGATGCTAATGATGCTCATGATCATGCTGATGATGCTGATGATGACGATGATGATGACGACGATGATGATGATGCTGATGCTGCTGCTGATGATGATGATGCTGATGATGATGATGCTGATGATGATGATGATGAGGAGGAGGAGGAGGATGAGGATGATGATGATGATGATGATGATGATGATGATGATGATGATGATGATGATGATGATGAGGATGATGATGATGATGCTCATGATGATGAAGGTCTGATGACGAGGGACGAGGAGGAGGACGATGTGGAGGAGGAGGAGGAGGAGGAGGAGGAGGAGGAGGAGGAGAAGAAGGAGGCAGGAGGGAGGAGGCAGGAGGGAGGAGGAACAGCAGGAGGGCCAGGAGGAGGAGGAGGAGGACGACGACGACGAGGAGCCGGCCCCGCTGCGCCGCCCCGAGGCCAGACGACCCTGGGCCGCAACGCCACCGGCACGCGCCCCAGCCGCGGGGGGCTCCGTGGGCCGCTGGCCCGTTGAGCCACGGCCGTTGCCGACAGACCGCCCGACGGCCGCCGCCCGCCGGCAGCCGCCCGACGGCCGACGGCCGCCGCCGGCCGCCGACGGCCGCCGACGGCTCACCGCCAGCGGCCCGCTGGGCGTCCGCCGCTGCGGTCGGGCGCCACGGCCTGCCGGAGGGCGCGGCCGCTCGCTCCTCGTCCTCGTCCTCGTCCCCGTCCTTGTCCTCGTCCTCGTCCTCGTCGTCCTCCTTCTCCTCCTCCTCCTTCTCCTCCTCCTCTTCCTCCTCCTCCTCCTCCTCCCTTCCTCATTCCTCCTGCTCCTCCTCCTCCTCCGTCTCCGCCTCCTCTCCTCCTCCTCTCCTCCTGCCTCCTCTCCCTCCTCCTCCTCCTTCTCCTCCTCTCTTTCCTCATTCCTCCTGCTGCTGCTTCTTGTCTTCCTCCCCCGCTCCCCCTCCTCCTCCTCCTCCCCCCCCTCCTCCTCCTCCTCCTCCTCCTCCTGCCTCCTCCTACTCCTGTTTCCCCTGTCCTCCCATTCTGCGCCGTCGCCTCCCCTCCTCCAGCCTCTGCTCCCGCTTTCCCCCCCTCTATCCTTTTCTTGCCGCGCTTTCCCACTTTGCCCTTCTCGGCGTGCTGCTGCTCCTCGTTCTCGTCCTGGGTGCGCGGGGCAACTCTCCTATCCTCTTCCTCCTCCTTTCTTCCTCGTCCTCCTCCTCCTCCTCCTTGTTCTCCTCCTCCTCCTCCTCCCTTTTTCTCCTCCTGGCCCTGATCCTTCTGCTCCCCGTCTTCCTGTTCCTGCCCCTCCTTCCTCTCAGCGATTGTCGACACCGATGGGCATTCAACGGTGCTCTGTGGTGGCTTTGCAGTGCGCAGCTCGCTGTAGAGTTTGAGGAGAGGTGCGTCAACTACACCATTCTCTGGGATTCCGAGCGCGCTTGGCCTTCACGAGGATGCCTACGGAGCCCGAAGAGTCCCCCTCCTCTCTTTAGGCAAGCCGCGGAGCAACAGCTCGTAGCCTCAGTATCGGCGGGCCGACGCCTGCCTGCCCCGCCGCGCTCGTAGCCAGGCAAAGAGCGCGGGGGGCAACAAGGAAATGCTGGCGCCCTGCCGCAGCAGTCAGCAGCAAACCGACGGGTGTGATGCGGCTGGTCCGCGGAGAGGAGGCACAGGACAGGAGTCTCTCTCCTCCTGCTCCTCCACGATCCAGCCCGAGGGCCTTGCCCCAGTCGGCGCCGCGAGAGCGTTTTTTTCCCCCCTCTGGCGGATAACGCTCTACCAGCCCCCCCCCCCCCCGGGTAACGCTAACGATTGTACGTTTTTTGGGGGTGGAGGGCGGACCCCCTTCCTCTCAGCAGGTATGGCGCTGTGCTCACAGGCGCGGCGTGGTGCTGAAAGGCATGTGTGGTGCTCACAAACGTGTTGTGGCGTTCGCAGGTTCCTCACCTGTTGTGGCGCCGGATTCACAGGCATGGCGTGGTGCTAAAAAGCATGTTTCGGTGCTCGCCTGACTGTTGTGGCGCCTGCTGGCTATTGCACTGCGCAGACTAGTGTGGTTTGTGTCTACACTCCTATGCTCTCTTCCCCGGTTCTTCCTATTGGTGGAACTCTGGAAGCAATGCTGCCAATGGGGTTCGCAGCCATGCCTGGGTGGAGCAACGGTTATCCCGCGTCTGTTACAAGTGGCGCTGACGAAGGCGAGGCGACGTCGCAGGATGCCACGAGTGCAGTTGCTGTAGAGCATAATATAATCCTACCTCTGCCCGCCTGCCCCACCGCCTACTAATATCCTCCTCCTTCTTCGTCGTCCTCTGCCCTTCCTTCTCCTCCTCCTCCTCCTCCTCCTCCTCCTCCTGTCCTTCCTCTTCCCCTCTGGATTGCGCTGTGCGCTTTTGGGATTATATGCGTGGCCGTTTGGGCCATATGGGTTTGTCCGCACACCGTCCTTGCCCTTTCGCCTCGTCCTCCCCGTCGCTCCTCCTCGTCCTCCTTGTAGGCTCTCGCTCGCACTAGCGGGCCGAATTTCGTGACATTTGCGTTGCGTGTTGGCGCGCCGAGGTACGATGTGGCTGTTCGCTCGTATCAGCTCATGTGCCACTCAACAAAAAAACTCCCACCTCCTTCCAACCTCCCCTACTCCCTCCTGCCCCCCTCCTCCCCCGCCTCGCTCTCGAATCTCCCCCCTCCTCCCATATCTTTCCATGTCCTCTTGGCCATTTCGTTCGAACCAAGCTGCGGATGGTCTTGCCAGAACTTCACAAAGTGCCAACCCAGCAATTTGCGCGCCATCGATACTACTCTCCAGGTGCTGCGGTGTACACGGGCGACGTGGTGAGGATTTCCGCGGTGTGTGGCGGGCCCCGCCAAAAAAAAAGGCTTCGCAAGCTACTGACGTGCCCGTTGGCACGTTTTGTTGTAGACAGGCGTTGTGGTGCACGGAAGCAGTGTGGCGTGCGCAGGTGCTGCGGTGCACATGGTTGTTGTGGTGCACGCAGGCGTTGCGGTGTACACAAGTCACTTGGTACACGCAGGCAGTGTGGTGTACACAAGCGCTGTTGCGCACACGGATGTTGCAGTCTACGCAGATTTTGCGGCGTATGTGGGCGACGTGGTGGCGTTGCGCACGCAGTTGTTGTGGTGTACCGAGACATTGTGGTGCAGTCAGGCGGCGTTGTCCTGCACGAGTGCATTTTGGCGTTTTCGCTTGCGCGGGGGTTGCAGCGCGCGCAGGGAATTGATGTGCCGATGGTGCGGACGCACCCTGGCGGGCGCACGCCGCGGCCGCCGTTACAGTTGCCCGCCGCCCCCCCCCCCCCTGGCAACCGCCGTTACCCCAAATAGTAATAATACTAATAATAATATTACGAATAATAATAATAATAAGAATAATGATAATACTAATAATAACAATAATAATAATAGTAATACTAAGAATAATAATAATCAGAAAAATCGTTTCCACCATGTCGGGAACCTCCCCGCCACCAAAGCCTAGCGCACTCTGGCACTCGCATCCTCCGCCAAAGCCAGTGGGACACCCTCGAAGTGCACAGCCCAGCACGCCAGCGCTGGCCTCCGTTTTTTTGCACGATCGAAATGGGTACGGGAAGGATGGGGACAAAAACCGTCGTGGAGCAAGTCCCAGACGCAAACGGACCAGCAAGAGTTTGAGATCGTAGAGCAAGCGGAGGTAGTCCCTGAGTTGGGCAGATGATGAAGATAAGCTTGGAGGAGGTGGTGCCATAGCGTCAGCGGCAGTTGCTGGTGGGTGTCGGCGAAGGGCTAGGTATAGAGGTGGACGCAGGGTTCTGGGTAGAGGCAATGGCATGTTGCATACGTGGTGGAAGTGTTTATTGGGTAACGGCCAGGTGCAGTGGCATATGGAAACTCTGGTATGCAAGAACTGCACATGCAGAGGCAACAGTAGAGATAGAGGTAGAGGCGACGTTTGGTCATCTGCAGAGTCACAGAAACAGGCGCAGAAACGGGTGCACGTGGGGGCGAAACGGATGCTGAGGAATTGTGGACGGTTTGGGTACTGACAGCGGTAAGAAACCACATAAGGGGTGGATGTGGAGATTGTTGCAGGTGTCAACGTAGAAGTGCAGATTACCAAGTCAAGATTTTGGTTAGAGGGTGTAACTTATGATCGGTGCTCGCACCTATGTGCATCAGTGTAGTTTTGTCAGCAGGTAAATGATACTTGTGGATCTATATACCTATACGACCACCCTTCGGGTGATAAGGAGGTTCGGGGGCGGGAGGAACCAACGTCTCATTCGATCGGTCCCACTGTCGATCTCACTATCGATCATTCGTTGTCGGCCTGGCAAAGGGCTCTGTCCATTTGAGGCAGAAGTCGCTTGCCCAGCAGCAGCCGCTGCCAATTTTGGACGACATTTGGTGTTGGACATTGTGCCCATGCTTTCCGTGCCCCTCTCGCTCGTCCCAACCTCCCTCATCCCCCCCACGTGGGCGCTGTGCGCTGCATCAGCAGCCGACGTCATTGGAGGAACATGTGCCCATACCGCTACCCTTGACTCGTTTGTCCTTCTTGGGCCTGCTGGGAGGCCCTCGTCGACATGGCTGGATTCGCTTCGGAATTTCGATCTGAACGCGCTCGGGAAGAGGTCCGGGGAGCAGCGGTATCGGTATCGTGCCGTTCCCCACCGACGGGCCCATCGCCACGACAGCCTCCAAGTTCAGGATCGGCGCTTTGCTCCTTTTCGTTCGGAATGGCGCCTCGCCCCAGCGCGGGCCACACCCCTGGGTCCAAGTCCTTGCCCCTCGTTGCCGTCCCCCTCCTTTCCCTTCTCCGACTACCCCTGGTCCTCCTGTTCCTCCTGTTCTTCCTCCTGCTCCTCCTGCTCCTCCCGCTTCTTGTGCTGCTTCTCCTCATTCCCTCTCCTTCTTCATCCTCCTTTTATTCCCGACTATTCCTGCTCCTCCTCGCGCTCATCCGCCATCTCCTCCTCTGCTCTGAGGTGCCACGCCCCCTCCCTCTCTCTGATCCCTCCCTGCACATCGCACGACAGGGGTCCCTTGGCCCGTTTCGGAGCAGGGTCCGAGGACGCCCCAGTCGGCGGACAGGACGCAACTCGGCGCAGCGGGGGAGGGGGGATGGGCGAGATGGGGCAGGTTGTCAGATTCGGCGCTGGCGCATGCAGTTTCTTCTCGTCCCTCGCAGAGCAGGGCCCTCCGAGGACGCCCCCAGTCGGCGGACAGGACACAGCTCGGCGCAGCGGGGGAGGGGAATGGGCGAGATGGGGCAAAGTGGGGGCCCATGCCAAGAAACACCGTGCTTGCCTCCAGGGTGCCCTGGGCTTCCTGGGCTTCGATGGTCTTGCTGTGCACAGCGCGACGCTCCCTCACCAACAAAAATCAGTGGACGTCCTGGGGTCTCAGGGCTGGGTTTCACGTGGAAGGTTCCCTGTGGAAGGTTCCCTGTGGTCGGGCCCCTGCTGCAGGCTGTCGGCTCCGGCGCTGGCACAGTCCGCCTCTCCTCGCCCCGCCCAGCGCGGCAGAGGCGCTCCGCGCGCGCGATCCGGTGGGCCGCTCTCGGGGCACGTGCGGCCTGTCCGGCCGCAGAAGAGGGGGGGGGGGACCCGGGCCGGCGAGCGGCCGCGGAGGGCGCGAGACCTCCTCCCAGACAGGATCGCGCGGAGCAAAAGTCAGGACGGCAGGTCCTTCGCTGTCTTCGGCCCCCCTGGGGGCCCTCGCCGGTCCCCGGGACCGTCCAACAGCGACTCAGGGGGGAAGAAGCCAAGCCGGTCCTGGGGGAAGGGTGTTTGGGCTTCGGGGGACGCCGTCCTGGAAGCAGCAGGACGTCGCAGAGGTTTGGGCGCCCCAGACGTGCGGCATGCCCTGGTGTCTGTCCCACGCAGGGCTTCCCCGGAGGCCCCGGCCCCTTCCCCCCGAAGGGCCGCTCCTTCCGCTCGCGAGCCGTTTTTTCTCTGCCGGCCCCGGAGGGCCCGGCGGGGGCACCCGAGGGCTCAGATTGCAGAGCCAACAACAAAACCGTTCGTTGTGTGTGTGTGTGTGCGTTTTTGTCCTGTGCTCGGGGGGGCCTGGTTCCTCTCTCCCCCCCCCCGCGGGAAAAAGATCACAGCATCGCGGGGAATGACGACCGGAGCACGAGACCCCCTCGTTCTGGGGCCGGGCTTCCCGGCCCGGATCGATCAGTCCTGGCGCCTGGGCCCCGAGCCGGGTGAAAGCGCCCCGCGTCAGAGAGTTGCGACGCCCAGGTCTCAGGGGGCACCCAGTGTGTCGTCATCCTCTCTCCTCTCTTCTCTCTCATCCTCCCTGGTGGTCTATACCGCTTCCTTGGGACCTTTTCATCTCGAGTAGTCTTTTGACGGCCCGGGGCCTGGCGAGGGCCCCCCAGAGGCCGACATCTAGTGTGACTCCGACGTGGGGCCCCACATGAGAATCACCCTAAGCGGTTTTGAAGTAACCCTCATCATCGTCCTCGTGATAGTGGAAGCCCTCTTCCAGTCTCTCCCTCACACTTGCCTTCTTGCTCTCGATGAGGTCCTCCAGGCCCCTGCTCGGCCTCCATTCTTTTTCTTTGAAAAGTATGCAGTTCCTCCCTGTCGCACCCCGAGGCCAGTCGGTAGGGCATGCCGGGCGTTTCGCCAACCATTCCTTCCCTATTCATGATACTGAAACTTACAACTTGGCAGCAGTGTTACAGATGGGGGGTTGGCGGGTTTCCAGATGTGACTCTCGCCTTAGCGCCGTGCGCATTTGTTTTACTGTAAACATGTGCAAGAGTTTTGTGGATTGAGGGCGGGTGGTCTTCAAAATGTAGCTCTCGCCATAGTTCCGCGCACATTCAGTTCGAAACATTGCAAGAGCTTCGCGCATTGAGGGCGGGTGGTCTTCAAAATGTGGCTCGCGCTTTAGCACCGCGCACACTCAGTTTGGAATGTTGCAAGAGCTTCACGGATTGATGGCGGCTCTCTTTCAAAATGTGGCTCTCAGCCGCTTAGACATGTGCAAACGTGTCACGGATTCCATCGGTTAACGTGGCAGGCATGGTGTGTCGTAACGGTTCAGGATTGCCAGGGCGCAACACTTACGGTACGTTGATTCGCGGCGCCGAAGTCCAAGGAATGGTGTTCTTGCGCGGTTCAGGATCGTCAAGGCGCAACAGTCAGGTTGATTCGTGGCGTTGCAGTCCCGAGAAAAGGTGCTTTGACACGATCCAGGATCTTCAAACGGTTGTTTCCCATGAGGGCGCCTCCTTCAATGGAAATGAATCCTCGTAGGGGCCTATGGAGAGGGAACTTGGAGGACGGTTTTTTCCAACATCGTTGAGAAGTCTTGGGCTTCCACTGGTCCTTATCCTTATCCTCCTCCTCCTCCTCCTCATCCTCATCATCACCATCATCACCATCATCCTCTGCATCACCCTTCCTCCTCCTTCTCCTTGTGCACCTCCTCCCCCGCCCGCCTTGCATAGGCGCGTATGCAGATTTTTCTCGGCACCGTCGCCGCCGCGGCCGGTTGGGGCGCGTCTTCCGACAGTCAGGTCGCGAAGCCGTTGGGGCAACTTTGCGGGCCAGGTCACTGAGACAATTCCCGCGGGACGCTGCGGCGCTAGATCAAGCCGTCGGGACAACCCAACCCCAGAGCCCAAAGAGGTCGACAGTTATAGGATTTTGGTGCTTCTCTCGGATTGCTGACTTAAGCTGGCGGCTCCATGGGGAGGGGGCTCCCGCATGACAGTTCCTCACAATTCACTCACCGACGAGGTTCCCGTTCGAGACATCCCAATGATCCACGTTTGACCCCCGAACTGACGGCGTTTGCAGGATATGGGTGGCCCGATCGGTTTGCTAACGGAAGAGGCTCCCGCCCGAGACTTCTTGACAATTCACTCACAAACTAGGCTCCCGCTCGAGACTTCCCCAGATCCACGCCTCAGGAGCCCAAGAGTGACGACAGCTGCAAGACACGGATGGCTCGCTCGGATTGCTACCGTGATCTTGCGGCCCCATAAGAAAGGGGCTTCCGCTTCAGATTTCCTAGCACTTGAATCACAGAAGAGGCTCCCGCTTGAGAATTCGCCAGGTCCACACTTCAGGAGCCCACAACATGACGAGAGTTACAGGATATGGATGACCCGCTCGGACTGCTGACGTGATTTGGTGGCTCCGTAGGGAAGGGCCTCCCGCCCGAGACTTCCTGTCCATCCACTCCAAACGAGATTCTCGCTCGAAACGTCCTCCTGGTCTACACTTGAGGAGACCATGCGTGACGACCGTAAGAGGATATTGATGACCCGATCGGCTTGCTAACGTGATCGGGCGGCCCCATACGGTGTGGGTTCCAGCCTGGGATTTCCGGACAATTCGCTCACAAACGAAACCCCACATCGAGCGCCAAATTGACGGCGGTTCCAAGATATTGGTGACCCGCTCGGGCTAACATTACCTGGGGGCCTCATATGGAAAAGGGATCCTGCTTACTCACAAACGAGTTTCTCGGCCGAGATTTCATCCATAACCACGCTTCAGGAGCCCAAGAGTGACGACAAGTACAACATATGGACGACCCGCTCGGATTGCTCACGTGATCTGGCCGCCTTTTAGGGAGGAGGCATCCGCCCGACATTTCCTGACAATCCATTCACTAACGAGGCTCCCGCTCGAGACTTCTCCAGATCCACACATCAGGAACCCCGAAATAACGACAGTTGCAAGACATGGACGACAGGCTCGGGTTGCGAACATGATCTGGGGCCCCATAGGGAGCGGCCCCCGCCAGAGGCTTCATCACACTTCCGCCACAGACGAGTCTCCCGCTCGAGACTTTCCCAGATCCACGCATCAAAAGCCCCCAACAAATAGAATTACACGAAATGGATGACCCGCTCGGATTGCTAACGTGATCCGGCGGACCCATAGGGAGGGGGATCCCGCGTGAGACGTCCTCACAATTTACTTACAGACGAGGCTCCCGCTAGAGACTTCAAAACGAATGGGTGAATGAGAGTGCTAGTTCGTGCGCGAGTACGTGCGAGATATGGATGATGATAAATATTATGTTGTGAGTGTGTATGAACGACCGCGCGTGTGCGATGTTGATTGTGTGATGTTGGATGTTCGATGGTGATGATTGTGAGTGCGATGCGGGCGATAATGGAGATGATGGTGATGATGACCATGCTATGATGATGATGGTGATGATGATTCTGATGGCGATGATGATGATGCTGATGATGATGATATGCTGATAGATGATGATGATGATGATGATGATGATGATGATGATGATGATGATGATGATGATGATGATGATGATGATGATGATGATGCTGATGCTGATGCTGATGCTGATGCTGATGCTGATGTTGCTGATGATGATGCTGATGATGCTGATGCTGATGCTGATGGTGTGGTGGTGATGAGGCGCAAAAGGGTAGGGGGCGATGTCAGCGCGGGGTGTCCAGAAAAAGTAAGAAACCAATTTTGGATGTAGGGAGAAACCAAATGTCGTATTTTTTCACGCCGGGAGAATGTCTAGATTTTCGGGCCATAACTCGGCTCAGCATGCGTTCAGGACGATCTGGGCCTGGAACGCCTTTGGCGAGGCGCAGCTGTTGGATAGCATTCCGAGTTTGGAAAAATTGCCGAGGACCCACGAAACGACAGAAAAACAACGAGAAACAGCGAACCAACTTTCTCATCCTCCTCGTCTGGCGGCGGCGGCGGCGGCTACGACGCCGACGCCTGCCGCGCCGGTCGGCCGGAGGCCGCGAGACTCGCCGGAGCAGCGCCAGCAGCGCTAGCAGCTGCCGCAGCCCGGGGAGGAGCGCCAAGGAGCTTGTCGGGGCCTCGGAGCTCAGGCGAGTTTCAGATGAGTAGGCCTTTTGTTTTTAGTTGTTCGTTTTACGGGAGATGTGGAAATGAGTGCCGAGCTGCGCACAGGCAGCCGCCCAAAGTGGTCCCGGCTGGCCGCAGCAGGCTCCCCCAGGTGGTCCCGGCTGGCCCCAGCAGGCCCCCAGAGCAGCCTATGGCGGCCTCAACGCCCTGTCGCCGCCTCTGGCGGCGCCCCTGGGGCGCTCTGCGCCCCAGCGGGGTTGAGGTGTTGAGATCGCCCTGGGCTGCAGTCAAAAACCCTAATAAGGACGCGCGACTTTACTCAGGGTACCCGTGCGTCCTTGCTCTTCCTTGCTCTTGCGTCCTTGAGGTTTTCGTCGTCCGCCGCCCAGAAATCCCAACTTCGGCTTCCAAGGGTCTTGCGTCCTTGCCGCGCGTCCTTATTTGGGTTTTTGACTGTACTCGGGGGGCCTGCTGAGGCCAGCTGAGGCTACTCGGGAGTCTACTGAGGCCAACCAGGACAGCCTTGCGGGGCTTGTCCGTGCGCGACCCGAAGCGTTACCAGCTCGGACGCTGAGTGCCAGACCGGTTCTCGGCGGTTTTCGGGCGTGTTCGTCGGTCTTCGGCGGCTTACCAGCTTCACGATGCTCTCCAGCAGCTGCGCCTCGCCGAGGGCCTTCCGGAGTTGCCGGGATCTTCTCGAACTGCCCGGGAGCCGAGTTATGACCCGAAAGCCCAGGCATGCTCGCGTCATTAAAAGTTGCGAAGGGAATCTTTTCATGTTTTTCGGCCCCCAGGGGCCCTCGCTGGTCCCAAGGACCGTCAGAAAACGACCCAGGATGAAATCAGGTCCTGGGGAATGGGTCGAGACCTCTAAGCGTCCACGTCGGAGGCCTCGGAGTTCAGACGCTGGTTGCCGCCCGTGTCGCCCTGACAGCGTCGCGTCGTGACAAAATTCACGACGGGCGTTGTTTTGCTCGTTCTCGGCCTCCAGGGGCCCTCGCTGGGCCCTGGGGCCGGCAGAGACGGCTCGGGATGGCAAAAGCGTCCCTGGGGAAAGGGTCTGGACTTCTGGGGACTCCGCGTTGAAGACGTCCAAACGTCGAATGACTGGAGTGCCGCCCGCCTGACCGATCGTCGACTTGCATGCGGCGGCGTGAGTGGCCCGTGTGTCGTGTCGTGGTTCGCTGAGCTCGGGTTTTCCCGCTTCCTCTCCGCCTCAGGACCTAGGCGGATCGGGATCGCCTGGGCCCGACTCGAGCCCACATCCCTCAGGCCGCCTCCTCTCCCTCCTCCTCCTCCTCCTCCTCCCCCTCCTCCTCCTCCTCCTCCTCCTCCTCCTCCTCCTCCTCCTCCTCAGACGCTAACGCGGCGATGACAATGGCGGCGGCGGAGGCGAGGAGGGAGGCGCGCCGCCTCCTCGGGGCGCCCGCGGCAGTCTCCTTGCCGCCAGGCGCGAGCTCGGTGGCCTCGCGCTCCGCGGGCCACTGCACCCCCCCTGAGCTCCCAGGCGCCCCACCTCTCTGCGGGCCGCGGGAGTCCCCTCCGGAGCCCCCGCCCGCACTGGAGGGGGGACCTGGCCCTGCCACGACCCAGCACTCCTGACCTCCGCTGGCGTCTGCAGCGCTCTGCTGGGCGGCGCCTCACCGAGCCTCGCGAGCCTCATCCCCACGCCGCGGCCCATGGCCTCTGCAGCCAAGCAGGGGCTGCCCCCTGCGCCCTGAGCCTCTGGGCTCCTCGCCGCCGCCGCCCGGCACCTCCTCAGACCATGGTCAGGTCGGCGGCCGCCATGCTACTGGCCACGCCCTGTGCCATGTCCCTCGCCTCCCAGAGGTACCCCTGGAAGGCGTCGCTGTTCCAGCGCCCCCACCTCGGCACCAGCGCCGTACCCTTGTACGCCGCGTGCAGGGCGGACGCGCCGCCAATCCGCAGGCTGTGGGAGCCGAGGTCGTTCGGGTCGACTCCCTCGGCCACCGCCGCCTGCATCACCACCCGCTGGACATCCGCTCGTTACCAACCGGTCGTCGTCGTGCGCGAACAGCGGGTCGTGAATCCTGAAGCCCGAAAACCGTTCCCTCGCCCATCCTTCGTAGATGGTCAAGGCCTCCACGACACAGATGTGAGCCTCCGCCTCCGCTTCTGCCGTCGCCTTAGCCTTGAAGTGGTCTGGTCGGTCTTGCTGGCCCGGGTCTTGATGACCACTTCGTCCGCCGCGAGCCAGCTGCGGCACGGCTCGCCCGCTGCCTTCGGCGTGGCGTCTACCCCGCGCAAGCCCTTGTTGCCCGTGTAGCCGTTCTGGTCGCTCGATACGTACTCGCTTGCACGCAGCAGGAAGAAGTAGCCCGTGGCGACCGCCGCCCACAGTGCTGCTCCCTCTCGCGACCTCTCCGGTCGCTGCTCCTTCCTGATCCACCGCGTCGTGCGAGGCGTGACGGGCTTCTTTCGCTCGGGTGCTCCGTCGCGCCGCCCGAGCCCGTCAGTCGCCATCCAGAGTCGCCCTGCTCCTGCGGAGAGGTCGCCCATGCCCAGTGCCGGATGTTGCGCCCTCACGGCGCCGAGGCATTGCTTGATCGTGCCTGCCCTCTTGAGCCCTCGCCTTGACAGGTGCGCCACGAGGTCCAGCAGCAGCTCCTCCGCCCTCCTGTTAGGTTAGACGCGGTGACCTACTGCAGCGGGCTAATGCCGCGCGCCCTGCAGAAGAGTGACCACCAGCGCCAGTCCAGGCTAAAGGACTTGATGGTGGAACCCGCCAGCTTGTCCAGGATGAGCTCCAGCTTGGCCCTCTCCCAGCCCTCTGGCGTCTTCAGGTCCGTGGCAGGCAGGCCAACCGTCGGCTCAACGCTCACGCCATTGCGCTTCTTGCGTTGGGTATTGGCTCCCGCCCTGCGCTCCTCTGCTCCCTCAGGCATCAGAGCCGCGCGTGCCCAGTCTAGCCAGCCTGCCCTCTGGTCGGGCTAGCCCCATATCTTGACCAGCCGCCCCAGCTGTGCCTGCGCCACCGCTTGCTCTAGGGACCCACTGCGCCTGCTGTCGTCCCGACCCCCCCGGCCAACGGCTCCAGGTATGCCCTAAGGCCACTCGGCGCCTCGCCCTCCGTCTGCCCCAGGTAGCGCTGTACTGCGGCGGGGTCGATGCCGCCCGCGCCTCCTGTCCCCGAAGTGCCCCGGCCGGAGGAGAAGGAGACGGAGGAGGAGGAGGAGGAAACTATGGAGTACGGGGAGGGGGGGCTCTTGAGGCTCTCCTGGTATTCTCATGTTCTCCTGGGGCCCTCGTTGCCATCACGAGGGGGCAGGGGTAGGGGGGGCTTGGGGAGTGGGGGGCGGCGAGCGAAGGAACGAGGGACGACGATGAGAACGGTCTCCGAGCTCTAGGCCACGGCTGCGCAAGACGATACAGTCAAAACTGATCGTAAGGACGCTCGACTTCCCAAGGGTACCCGTTTGCATCTTTGCCTCTTCGGTCCATTTCGACCCATCCTCAACCAGTTTCGATGGCCAGCCCCGCTCGAGCGGCTTCGGCATTGGCGTCCTCAAGGCCTCCGCATCCTTGTCGCGGATTCTTGCTAGAAGCTTTGACTTTGAGAGTAGCAACCTCTTGAGATTAGGAGAGGGAGGATGAGGAGGAATGGGAGGATGAGGAGGAGGAGGAGGAGGAGGAGGAGGAGGAGGAGGAGGAGGAGGAAGAGGAGAAGGAGGAGGAGGAGGAGGAGGAGGAGGAGGAGGAGCAGGAGGAGCAGGAGGAGCAGGAGGAGGAGGAGGAGGAGGAGGAGGAGGAGGAGGAAAATTGCCCCCAGGAGGGCACCTCGGCGTGTGGGCAGCACGTCGGGGCTCCTGGGGGACTGAAATCCGCCAAGACGTCGCCTGCGCAGGGGCGGTGCGGCGGGCCAGGGGCGTTGGTGCCCTGGCGGGCCTGGGGCGGCCCCTCGACTCTGCCGGGTGGTCCCCCCGTGGAGTCGGTCTGCCGTCCCAGGTCCCTTGGGGACCCTGGGGCCGCGAGGGTAACCCCCCAGGGCTGGCGCGGACTGGTTCTCCAGTCTGCGTCGGCCTGCGTGGTACCAGCCTATGCGGGGGCTGGCTCTGGTCACTGTTGGGGCCCGCCCCTGACGTCGGGGTGTCGGGTGTGGCCAAAAGGGCCGGCTCTCGTGGAGAGTACGGCTCAAGACGTGTACCGCCTGGCCCCCCTTGGGCAAGGGGGCCTGTAGGGGCGGGCCAGGTCACCCCTGTGCGGTAACACGCGCCGTGTGCCCCGCACGGTGACGTGGGGTAACATGCGCCCCCTGGTGCAAGAAGAACCAGAGAGGCATGGGGACCGAATCGCCATCGGCGGGTCGGTGGAGCTCATGGACTCCACGTGGTGAGCCTGGCGCCTCTTCTCTTTCTTTTCTTCTCTCTTCTTCCCGTTTTCTCTCTCGGGCCCCTCCAGGAGCGCGCGGCCCCTAGCTCCAGGGGGTCGCGGGGCGGCGGGTTTGCCCCGCCCCATATCGGTGGCTAGGACTGAACCTGGCCGCAATGTCGAGCCGACCGCGCGCGGCGGCGTCGCGCCCCCCTGCCTGGTTGCTGGTCCGTCCGAGGCCTGCCCAGGGCGGGCCTCGCGCATGTTGTCGCTGCTTCGAGGCTCGCCGCCGTCTCCGTCGGGTGTCAGGTAAGTCACCTGACGGAGACAGCGGCCCCGCGGTGGGGCGAACGCATCGCGTCCACCTCCTTTGCTGTGCCCAGGAGGAAGAGGAGAAGGAAGATGATGATGATGATGATGATGATGATGAGGAGGAGGAGGAGGAGGAGGAGGAGGAGGAGAAATAGGTGTAGGATGGAGGATGGAGGATGCTAATGGGGATGATGATAATGATGACGATGGTGATGCTTCTGCTGTTGCTGATGATGGTGCTGGTGATGCTGATGATGCCGGTGCTGATGATGATCATGCGGATGATGCTGCTGATGCTGACCATGACCATGATGCCGCTGGTGACGATGCTGATAATGATGCTGCTGATGACGTGGGTGATG